GCTTTTGAAAAACAGTTCAGTGATTTGAACAATCGTTTATTGATTAATTACTGGTGTGTCTGTAGACTCTATACGGACCTTCACAGAATGTGAAAAATCAAAAAAAAAAAAATTCCAAACAGTTGAAAAAATCTTAAATCTTACTACAGCACGACCAAATGCTGAAGAACGTCCTATGCTGCAAATACTTTCCAATGCCAGCATCATCGTTTCTATATTATGCTGCATGTTTCCAAAATGTTCCACAAGACTGTCACATATTTTGATATAGACATCACTAGGCAAACAATCGATTTTTCCATCAATATTTTTGTCAGCAACGCAAAGATTACGAAAAATTTTCTGAAAAGATATTCAAAAATTAATAAACCAGTACAAAAAACAAATAAAGAGCCATAAGATAATTGTCATTCAAAAAGAATTGTTTATATAATGCAAAAAAATATTACGTTACTAAAGATTTGAAGAAAATTATATTTTCATAAAGATGAAAATTGAGTAAAACTAATAAGTAACCAACTAGGCACATAGTCTATATTGTTTATTACGACAAAAAAAAAATGGAAATTTGAGAACTTACAATGACGTATGTTTGGAACGAGACGTGAGGTAAAGTTTTCGGGCTAGCTAGTTTGAAGAACATCAGCAATGTAGTAATATAACTTTTGCGCTGGGAAATTATGATAACCATAAAATTTCGAAGTACAAATTCTGTGGAACAGATAGCCAAGAATGCATAAAATGAGGCTGTCACAAGATCAACGGCATTGCCAAAACGAACATTTGACTCTTCCTCAACAATATCGTCGTCAAAAGCATCAACGATAGCCGTATGTGCCGAAGACGTTAACATTCGTAAGCTCTGCTTTATAAGAATACTATAAAAAAGAAATAATTTCGATGATTGATTGCGTCAGAAAAGTGAGATATTTAAAACGATAAAAATATACGTAAATGATGAGTAAATAAAAGGAAAGAATAAATAAGTAAATTTCACACATAAAATGTATTTCAAAAAACTCACTGTAATAAAACTGGAGAGTTGAAAAAATCATATAATAAGATAATCAAACAAAGTCTCTTAAAAAAACTTAATATGAACTTATTATATATATATAAGTCTATCGATCCATATTTAAGTTTTTTAAAGAGATTTGATTACAAATTATATGTATATATATATATATATATATCATACAAAATACACATTTGTGCCAATTTGATGAAATCAATCTTGAAAACAACAAAAAATAACAATTTGTTGATTAGTTCTTAAGAAAAATTTGCTTACTCAATTAAACGCAATGCATTACTCTCGGAACAATATGCCAAACGTTTACACAGGTCGAATATACGTCGCTTCAGTCGCTGCGAAGATGAGATACCTAACTGCAAAAAAAAAAAAAAACATAGCATTAATATTTCAAATTAGAAAACGCTTCACTCAAAAATCTCATAAATCCAATACATTAAACTGAAATAATAACCATAATTGCGAACTGCAACTGTTTCCCGTTTTCTAAAATACGATCGCTCAGCAATTTTTCCATTGAAGTTACCTCCTGCATATTAATACCAACAACGTTTGCCAGCATATCCGACGGAAGCGGGAATAATTTTAGCAAAATATCCAACGTAGCAAAGAAATTTGAAGGTTTATCGAAACCGGAATTCAAAAAAGCTTTAGAAATGACTGCTGACCAGTTTTCCGTAATCTCTGTCGATCTGACAGAGTTGGAAAAATAAATAATGAAAATGAATTTATAATAATTTCTCTAATTATGCGATCGCCAGATGCTTCATCCATACAACAGAGTGTATACGTCCTCAACAAGGTATCTATGACCAGCTTATCAGGATTTTGGTTGATAGTTTGTAAGGACAATAATAGCTTGCATATAATGCTCGTTGCTGAACGAACAAACTGACAATAAATGTATGAATCACCGGTAAGTGCGGTGCATCGATAATGCACTCGTTTGCTCTGTTGACAATTTGCTATCTACAAAACTTTTTTGAAATTAAAATGAATTTTTAGAAAAACTTGGAAGTTTTTCATCCTGAAAGTCACATAAAATGATTCACCTCAAAAAAAAGCTTACATCTAATACGTGTGTAATTTTTCTAATCCACCATCCCCATAAAATTTTGCGTAGTAATCGAAATGAATTTCATCGGGTGGGACATCAAATAATGTTACATTTTCCGGTTCATTCAGTATTGCATCTATTAGACGTAGTAGAGTTACCAATGCTAACGGCGGATCACCTTCCACATATTTTTCACTGTGATAAGTTAATCTAAAATAATGATTATGCCAACAAAACATTAATATTTTTGAAAAGAAAATTTGATTGAAATTTATAATTTCTACAATTTTACGGTTGACGACAAGTACCATGAATTTGTATTCCTTCTTCATTTAAATTCCACTTGTCTCATCACATTAAACATAGTTTTACATAGTCGCCTAATTCTAATCTTTTAGATAAATAATTTAATAATCTAGTTTCTATCCTGGCAAACTAATTTTGCATAAATTTTTGAGATTTCAAACCTCGTCGTTAGGAAATCTAACGTATTTATATTTCTCCCAAGTGCTAATTCCTCCCGAAATGGTTCCAGCCAGTGTTTCAATGATGTGGCAGCTGAGATGAGGTTACAATCGATTAGTTTAATAATTTCTGGACCATGCCTTCTCCAAAATATTCCACTAGACTGATTTCGTGCTAAGGCAAATAGAATTTCACACAAATATCCGTAAGTAGCAGTTTGCCTAAACCTCGTTTTGATGTCATCATCGATATGGCCTTCGAGTATTAATACTGATTTTTGAAGATCACATATATGTAACAAATGTTTCAGATTATCTCCAAATGATAGTGCGGAAATCATCGCAAGACGTCCTTCTTCGACTAATAACATATGCAACATATTTTGTAGAACAGTTACACGCTCAGGTGCATCGATTACTGAAATACACCTGAAATTATTGAAATGAGATATTTTTTAAACTGAAGTTCCAGAAAGAATCCAGTGTTGAAGAAAGATCTAAATGCTTAAATTTAATCTAATTTAAATTGAAGACAAATTCAAATACGAAAAAACCAAAACTTACTTCTCATCGGCAGCAATAAACTGATCAACTAATACGATTGCTCGCAATGCGTAAGGTAATAATGACTTTTCTTTGCTATCTTCCTTAAAAATAAATTTCTTTACGCCATAATTTTAGGAAGCCGATTTATAAATATTGAGATGAAATTCAAATGCAAATGAAATTAATAACAACAGAGTTGCAGAAACTACTTTACTTTGTAAATGTTTTATTTTAAAAATATATTCAAAGAATCTGAAAGGTTCAAAAGGTTGTAGTGTGCATGAACCAGTTTTTAAACCGATAAAAATAAGTTTATGTAGAAAGAAAAAACCAAAACTACCGAAATTTGATGTAATAATCGTCCAACTAATGATACTGTTTGTGTGCCCATATATGAGAGAAAAATCGCTCCAGTAATATCAGTACCATCGAAATCGCACAGCAATCGGAGACAACGAACTGCCAAATACCTTATTCTCGTATCTTGATTAGGTGATATAGCATGCACACAAATATGCGGAATTAAACAACTAAAAAAAGGAATATCGTGCCAGGGAATAAAATTAAAAAAAATCAGATCCAAATTTTTTAATCGAATGATAAATTAAAATTTGAAGCAAAAGACCATTATGCCATAGAACTGTGTATTAACGGTCGACCCTTTGATTTGAATAATCATAAACTCTTTATGTCAGAAAGACTTTATTGAATAAATCTATCAACTAAGGAATAAAAACAAATCCGGCAAATCTTCGAACATAAAATGCATCACATTAGAATGCGAAGTAAAACTACCTAACATATTACTACTGATATATGCCGAAAGTTCGTTGGCGAAATTTCTAAACTCATAGCAATTGCATTAAAGTGCTAACATTAATTTTTACACGCCTTACTTTTTCACAATGGTCCGATGTGCAGAGCATGACATATAGCTGAAATCATTTCTTATTTTCGAAAAGAAGTTGTTCAGAATGTTGAAGGATGAGAACAGCTGAGAAGTATCAACATCATCACAATCTTCCTCCATAAAAAACCTTCGTGCATGGTTGCTTACAACATCAATATTGTATTTAAATACAAAATAACTTGCGATTTTTTGAAGTACTCCTAACAAATCCAGCGAAACATCCTGCAAAATTCTAAGGGTAAGGGAAAATAATGATGATGGCTTATCTGTTTATGTATCTTCAGTGTACAATATAACCTCCAAATCGAAATTTGTTCTCTTAGCTCTTTCCAAAAATCACTGCGAGACAAGAACAGTGAAAGTTGTTATATACTTTCTAAGTGCACTGAAAAATAAAACAATCACTTCTGCAATGATAGGTGCAAACCTCTGGTTTCATGAAAAGATGTATGACTTGCTCGTATGGTGTATATTTATTCCCTTCAATTTCTGTCACCATGAATTTCCAGGATATTGATGGATGAAAAAGAATGTCTAGAAGTGCTTGCGCAGCTTCACATCGGATTGATGAGCAGTACTGCTTGGAGGATATGATATTCATAATATAATTTAAATATTGGGGAGCCTGAAGACAGTTCCGTTTTTTACCACTTTCCTTTCTCACGAAATATTATAAATATGTTTCCACGATAGTAATCAATCTTGACAATAAATTTAAGAGACTAGATTATGTGAGATCAATTAGTTCGACTAGTTAAATAATTCAATGTAATTCAGTAAGCATACACAAAATGTCACGCTCAAATCCTTTTCATGCATAGCTGATAGCTGTTTGGTTAGACTACAACCGATCATAGCCATTTGACTGCTTCCTGCATACGATGTAGAACGACTTGAGCTAAGTCCAAATTCAACCCATCTTGCTAATTCAACATCCATCTCATGTACCTTTTCTGTAAGCTGTTTTAATTAAATAAAAAAAGTTAGCAATTACCAAGATAACAAAGCATTGAGTGCCTCAGAAAAATAAATCCTATAAACGCTGAAGTTTATTTGATGCTTAAGGTTTCTAAATTTGAGAGTTAATATTACAAATAAAATTTGCTGCAAACACATGCCTTCACAGGATGCAGCTTTGGTATAAATTCGTATACTGCTTCGAATAGTTGGTAAGATAGTTTCCATAGAAATTGTCCAGTCGTCACTGGAAATTGAGAAAGCTTATACTGTTGACAAAAAAAGTATGCTGTCTTGATAATAAAAGCATGCAGTGGTACAGTGCACATCAAATTTTATGATCAAATCAAACTGATTAAGAATGACTTACATAAGCTCAATCAGTGGTTTGGAACAAAATGATTCCAAAGCACCGCAAAAAAGTTCGTACTCCAAATCTGTCGGTTTCATATCTTCCACATCTTTCCATGGGTATTCCAAATTCTAAATATCATTGACTTTAAAATCAAAATTTTGATCTGGACAAAAAGCGTAGAAATCAGAAAGAACTAGACATATCGCAAAAAAAAAGAAAAATACAGTTTTGAGATATTGAACCATCAACAATTCGTCAATAAATTAAATGCTTAGAGATTTCATATGTGTCCTAGCAAATGCAAATAATTAAATCGGCAAGCTAGTTTCGAAACCCATCCATCAAATAATCCGTCTATCCTACTAATGGAAACATATAAAACAATGAACACCTCCTAATTCCAGCCACTTGTTTCAGATAATACAAAACTGTAACATATGAAAGCAGTGCATACTTACCTGAATAAGAACATTATCAATTTGCTGCAGAGGAGATGAGGCCAGTTCGTTTTGTATCGGTGCCTTCTCTAAATTCTCCATAAAATTCTCGTTATGTTTTTCCATCACTGTGTATTACTTATCATATTGGAAATAAAATACATCTCTATTCTGTATTCAGAACCTAAACATTAGTTGAACCCATTACACCTGGAAACCTTGACAATTAGTTCTTATGCTTTCATACGAGATTATATGCGTGGAAATACGTATATGGATGGATGAATGAATGTATGCATCACATTTACAGAACTAAATTAAATTGTTTCTTGATTTTTATCATCAGCCGACTGTTGCTTAGTTGGAAATAGAATTGTTACACGTGTGCACGTCAACTCCATGACAACAGTACGCCGTTGGAAAGGAAATACCCGGCAGATAGATGCAGACACAAACGAAACTAGCAATGAGTTTCCTTCCCCAATATAAGATAGCTTTCATCACGTTACCACGCTCATCTGATTACGTACGCAAACTTTTCCAGTAATACAAGAATGATTTCAAAATTTTCATAACGTCCTGAACTGAGTGATACGCAGACGTAATAATATAATTTGGCTGGTGATTTTGAGTTGTCTTATTGATAGTTTAAAACCGGAGCTGGAAATCGGTTCTCTGAGTATAAGTGAGGGTTTCCGTAAAACACTTGTTATATACGGATTTGAGGTCAATATTTCTGAATTGTTGTTAATAGTCGACTTCTACGGCAAATTTTTAACAGCTGGCAAACCTCCAGTCGAGGTTAGTGACGTCATTTATTTAATTTGAATTGTAGTAGTCTGCGCATTTTTAGTGTTAACTTCAACTTTAAATATAGTCATTCGCATATTTTACTTCAGTTATTTCTTCAGTAAGTTAACTACATATAAGTATTTATAAGTATTTTGGGAACAGTTTGTTGTAGTGAGTAGTAGTATTTGATTGTATTGTATGGAAGAGCAATGATTTTTTTGTTGCTCTATTGCTTATAATGGCACAATAGTTAATGATATTTTTCCAATCATATGGAAAGTCGCAGTTAATTTTTTCACTTTTTCCAACTATAGTTATTATTGTTTAGATGATAACTGTTAGATTACATGAAAAGCTGTATAACAGATGAATAGTTTATTTTTTATTTGTATTTATTTAAGTGTAATCACTGCGTGAGGGTTAGATTGGAATTGAGAATAATGAGTTGTTTTGCATATTCGTACACTTTTGCTTTCTCACTCTTCATACATTTCATACTTTTGTTTTTCTTATCCGTTATTATCATGCAGATTATAATGGATTGAATTAAGTATGTCTGGTGCAGTGACGCTTAATTGAGGTATTATTGATAATGAGAAAGACTACAGACGTTATTATCATTAAAACGTTCCAGTTAGTCTCAGGTTGTACATTAAATTCGAGAGAGATTGATGGGAAGCGTTGACAACAGTTCAACTAATGCTCCACTGAATCCCGTTGCTGGCACTTCAGAAATGGTGGACGATGGCGAAACTACTGGTTATTTTTATTTTTTCTCTCAAAAATTTTTCTACAAATCTTTTCTGAAAAAGAGCGAAAGTCTGTGAGCAGGAAAAAAATTTTTGCATCGTAATCAGCTGTAATTTTCTCGAGAACATTGGTTGTCAAATATAAAGTTTCTTAAATATTAATATTGTTAAAAATTTGTGGTGCTTTCTTGATGCTTCATAAACATTTCGGAAAATGCTTTAGATTGAATAAACATTTTGCTTGAAAAGTGCTGTTTATCGAATTGCTGGGATAATCAGAAGAATAATGTAATGAATTAATGAGTGTAGTATCAGTGAAAGTATTGATGGCAAATGAAATGCGTGTTTGTTAATTTCAGACATATGCCGAGTTTGCAGAAGTGCCGGCGACAGTGCGTTATATTATCCGTGTCTATGCACGGGAAGCATTAAATATGTTCATCAGGATTGTCTTCTAGAATGGCTGAAATACAGCAAGAAGGAAGTTTGTGAATTATGTAGCCACAAATATTCTTTTCAACCCATTTATCGATCAGATATGCCTCAAACATTGCCACTTTCTGAAATAATACGAGGTCCATTCTAATATTTCAAATGTTTTAAAAATATTGAGTCTCATGAAAAGTTTTGCTTATTTTTTATAGCATATCTATTAAAATTCAACCCAGTTCTAGCAAGAATATGTATCCTCTTCATTTGAAATAAAATTTTTCCGAGTTTTAAGAATGCGTTATCCTGAGTCTTATGGGTATTAAATGCGGTCGAGCATTAACAAAGTCTCGAACAATATCTTCCATATAGAAGGAAGATATTTTTTTATTACAAAATGCACCATTGTTTTCTCCCTCTGTACTGCATTTTGCTATATCTATCGAATTGTTTTAGGCATTTTGCTTAATATGGGTCGTATATTACGCTCCTGGGCTATTTACACACTTGTGTTGGTTGCTTGGTTAGGTATTGTACCAATAACAGCCTGTCGCATTTACAGAATAGTTTTTTCCGCTTCTTTATCCAGTATGTTATCATTGCCTTTTCAACTGTTTTCACCAGACAATTTGCTGGTCGATTGTCTTAAAGTAAGTTGTCATAAGAAATGCGATTTTTAACCCAAAAAACTATGAGAAAATGTTTTACCCAACTACTACTGTTATCATAATATAGAAATTGAGTTGAATAAGTTTGAAATTTCTATTTTAAAAGCTATACCTCTCTTTTCATCTGGTAGAATGGGTAGTGAAATAAGTGAGTCTTTCCTAGCTCGTTGCTTTAAGTGACTGAGATTTTTGCATTAATGTACGAAAAATTGTAGGTGTGACAGTACAGATGTTTCAGTTCTTTATGATTTTTGGCTTTTTTCCAGATAAAAGTTTATTGCAAAATTAGTATATTTAGAATTTGCAGTATTCATGAAAAGATGTGGAGGACACGGAACCTAGTTAATATGTGTTTCATATAACCATTTAATAATTCATTATCGTCGTATCTTCAGGGTTGCTTTATTGTTTCGATTTTTCTATGCGCTTTTATATCCCTTGTTTGGTTACGCGAACAAATTATTCATGGTGGTCCACAGGAATGGCTTAATTTAGAAGATGTTGCTAGAGGTGCGAATGCAGAAAATGCATTGGATGATAATGTTGATGCCGTGGTTAGTTAAGTGGTTTTTGTTGAATACAGTGTTCCGTTTTCAATGCATGAATTTGTGATTTTCGGTAGATGATTAAATGGTTGAAGAGTTGACTCGGACCACGTTAATAAAGTTTTATACCCTCTAAAAAATTGTAACGTTTTTAAGAAGCTTTTAGGTTGCTGAAGCAAGGGTTGAAATTGCTGGTAACGATATGGAAGGAGGAGAAGTAGAAGAGCGAGGAGATGATGCGGAACAAGGCCAAGAAGATGTTGCAGTTCAGGATCAAGCAGATAATGACAACTGGAGAGAATGGGAAAGAGTAGCGGATGAGTTAACTTGGCAAAGGCTCCTTGGCCTAGATGGATCACTTTTGTTTCTTGAACATGTTTTTGGGTTATTTCACTGAATACCTTATTTACCGTACTATTCGGTATGTGTTTCATGTTTTATTATTATTATTATGTTGGAACGCTTATTTAAATTATCAAAAGGATAAAAGGACTCGGAACTGGTAAAGGTGTCTGCAATATTGTGTTTATATATGCATTGCATTTTTTATGACATTTCCAGCATTCTTGCCTTATCAGCTTGGTCATTTTTTTCTGAAAGCTATTGGATTATCATCTCGAATCGCTTATTTTCCGACGCTTACATCTGTGTTACTCGGATATTTTATTCTTAGTTTAATTGTTCGCTGTCTTCATGTTACAGCGAAAATCTCCAGATTAGCTCCGTAAGTTGTTCTTAAATATTTCGGAAAAGAGGAGATCCTAGAAGAATTTTTTTTAACTCAATTTCTTTTCTTCAGAATGTATCGAATATTGGGAATGTGTTACCTTGTCCTCAAAGTTTTTCTCCTCGTACTGACCGAAATTGGTTTCTTTCCAATAATATGTGGTTGGTGGTTAGACATCTGTTCTCTGGTATGTTATACATAGTTTTAGCACTTTTTCTTTTAGCTCATTGGTCTCTACAAAATTACACTTTGTTACCTCTGTGAGAGAATATGAAATATATGATAATTGATCAAATGACATGCTCCTGTTTGTTTCTTATACAAGACAACATTCCTGGTATTTGTATCTTTTTTATATTTTAGCCTTTATTTGCTTCAAGTCTGTCGCGTCGGATTGCTTCTTTTATGGTCTCTCCAACATCATCCCTTTTTATGCATTGGCTTATTGGTATGGTTTATGTCTTCTACTCGGCTTCATTTGTGCTGGTTTTGCGTGAAGTGCTTCGTCCAGGTGTTCTCTGGTTCTTGAGAAATTTAAATGACCCAGAATTCAATCCGATACAAGAGGTATGTTATACAGTTATTTTTTTTATGCAGTTATGGAAAGCTATTTCTGATATTATTGTAATGTAAAAATGCGTTTTGAGCTACTAAAATTTAAAGAAATCTGTTCATTCAACTTTTCTAGTACTTAAAGTATATTTTTCGTAAATTATAACTTAAATATTTAGATGATTGAACTTCCGGTTATACGACACTTAAGGCGACTTATTGCATCAACATCAATCTTCTTTACAACAATTCTTCTGCTGGTTTATGTTCCACTTTGTTTCATAACGCGCTATATACCATCTGTACTACCATTCAATTTGAGTTTGGCTGCCGAAACTCCTGTCAGCGAGCTGTCACTGGAGCTACTTGTTTTACAGGTAATTTGATTATACTTCGAATTCAGCTAGTTATTTGACGTATTTCCATGTAATGAATTGTAGAACAAATTGCAGGTAGTACTTCCAGCCCTACTTGAACAGACTCATGCCCGTACGATTTTGAAGACAGTTGTACGCACTTGGTGTTGTATTTTTGGACGACTACTACAGCTGGAACATTATTTGTTACCGATGGAGGAAAATGAAAACGGACGCCAGCAACGCGAAGCACCACCAGTCCAGCCAGTTGCTGGATTAGGCTTAGCTGCTCAACACCAAGCCTTGCTCCTTGTTCGAGAACCGCAGGGATTCCAGGCTTATAATAAACCGTCGCACTTTTCGCTTCGAGTTGTTGCTTTGCTCATAGCTCTCTCACTTACGTCGATGTTTACCAGCATTATATTTTGTGTGATACCTGGTTGGTTTTAATTTCAGGTTATTTTATAGTTCTTACAAAGTGATTTATAGCTCTGGTACTGACGGAAGATGTTGCGGAATTGAAGATGCAAGTCCATAAGACAACGTCATTTCTGGGAGTCGAAACTCGGTAGTTTTAGGCTCTTACATCCCTACATATGAAGAAGGATGGGTAATTTGGTTAACTTTACGTACCATCCGTGCTCCCGTATTGTTTCAAGGGGTTAATGTTCAGGAAATGCAAGAGATCATGGTGTGCTAAACTGTTGTTAGGAAAATTGATCGAAATGCATGTCGTTAAGCAATTAAGTAATTTTGTTTGCTTTTTTTCCCTAGTTATCTCTTAAAACTATTTAATGACAGTTGTACGAAGTAAAAAATTCAATTTAGAGTTTTTGCAATTTGGCTATGATTGATGAAATTAATTGCAGTGACATTTGGTCGTTTCATAGTGCACAGAATATCAGGTCATACGAATATCCATGATTTATATACGGTAGCAGCTGGGTTGTACGGTTGCTGGATTCTGCTGAAATTATTTTTCTTAGTTCTCGAATATGCTCCTCAAGGGACATTCTTCTTGTTCTCAGCTTTTCGTAATATGGCACTTACAGCAGTTAAACTCTGTGCTGTATCTGTTCCGATTTTAATAGTAATTCCACTTCTCGCTGGAATATCTTTTCATCTGGCTGTAATCAGTCCAATACGCATTGCATTACATCAAACATCACTTCTTTTCCCATGGCAGCACTGGGCAATGGGTATTCTGCATTGTAAAATATTTTGCGCAGCTGTCATGATGGGACCTAATTGGTGGATGAAGCATGTTTTTGAGCAGGTAATGCTTTCCTTTTTTGGACTGGATTTTTCAGAAACCAGCTAATTCTGCCTTTTAAATTTGATTACTTGAAAACAATTTTTTCCTATGACACGCTAAAGAAGTTTGTTCTTGCTTATACATCTATTGTTCTTGGATTCTTTAGCTACTTATTTTAGTTATATGCCGATGGCATTCGTGGCTTGAGGGTTCATTATTTATATAAGCAGTTGGTTGCACCAGTTCTCGCTTGTTTGGCAATTCATCTTTCCGCACCACGTGTCATCTGTTCATTAATTTCTATGATCGTAGACGTTTCAAATGAAGAACAAATTATATTTTTGCGTTATTCATATCCAGCTATGCTGCTTTGTGTATTTTGCGTTTATTTCGTTTACTGGCAATGCACCAAATTTAAGGCTTTGGCGGAGAAAATCCGAAATGACAAGTATGCTTCCAAATTTCCAGGAAATTTTTTGTTGTCAGTTGAAATTAGGAGCTCAGATAATAAGGAAACAGTTTTTTATTGATGTCGAAGTTATAAATATGTAGCCGGATGATAATATAATTCCAAGTATTAGATGGTAAAATTTATTATAAATAATTCGCTGGGTTTGTTAGGCAATCTTTATCTTGTTAAGAAATGAATTAAAATAATCTTTGTGAATAATTCTTGATGCAATAATTACCAGTATTGCAGGTATTTGGTAGGAACTCAGTTAGTCAACTATGAAAGAAATCAGGCTGAAGTCAGGCACTAAACAACTATGGGTACATGAATGAAGTTTTATAAGCGTACATGAGCGCAACGTTATCGTGATAGTGTGAGCAAATGAGCTTTACTTTTGGTATATTGTTGTGCAGCATGTTTTTATTTTTGGCTTGAATCTTGCCTTTGTACTATGGCAATTTAACTGAATTTTGAGGTTTTGTATTTGGAAACATTGACGCAACTTTAAAATGTTCAATTTCTAAATATGTATATAAGGATTATCAATATTTGTTAAATTGTCATAGTTGAAAACGGCAAAATCTCGTAATTTATACTAAATTCCTGAACATACATGTCTTTTAATAGACCGGAATTTAATTCGTGGTGCCAGTGTCATATATTTCAATTTGTTCCGTACACTTCAAAGCAGTGGTAAATTTTCTTCTATTCATAACGATGGACAAACAAGAGTGAAGCCGATGTAAGTAAATTATAGGTCAAAATGTCACCACATATGAATGTAGTAAACTACATATCATCTACGTTCAAACCTCAAGCAGGTTTTTTAGATTCAAGTTTAGAGAGAGAAGGACCATAGCACTTGAGTATTTTAGGATGTTTGATATTGTAAACATCGATGTATTTCATCTTTTATTAAACAAAATAATAAAATATAAGTAGAATGCTAAAATGCAATGAAAATGAGCTGAATTCATCAGAGCCGCATATTTCATTTAAGTAATTGTTTGAGAAATGAACATGTATGATTACAATTGGATTCCAAGAAATAGAATTACCCATTTCGAGCCAAAAAAATGCAAAAACTTGAAGAAGTTTTAGAAATTTTATTTACTTGGTAGGATTGTCCAATTTCTCGTTACAGTGTGCCTCACATTCCTTGGATTACTTCTGAGTACTAATAACGAGTTCTAGTGATTAGATCGGATATTTCGATAGCCATCATATGGTCGGATGTGTTCGATTTCTAAGGACCCTCTCAACCTCGCGAATAAAACTCTACATAATGGAATTTAAAAGATTGTAAAGCAGTATTAGCGTATCATGCTGTGACGTCAAAAAGTCTGTCAATAACCATGTCAAGCGACTCAGGTGTATACTTCAAGTGCTTTTCGGTACCTTTCGATAATGTGGAACGCATCATTCTGAAATAACACATTATCTGCTTAGTAACCATTTCAGTGAGTCATACCTATGTAATATAATGTCCGTTAGCTATTTTACAACTTGAGATTTTACAGTAAATGTAAACCCCACTCAGTAAAGGCAAAGCTTCAGGAAACAAGCAAGACAAGGTTTGCTTTGAGTGACTATATAGGAGAATTTGCGTCTTGATCATCGTCTGAAGTTTATAAAACATATCGCTCTATTTTAGCATTACTCGATCTTTAGTCCAAACTGATGAAGTGCACTAAATGGTTTTATGTAATGCGTTATACTGCTACAGAATAAATAAGAATCAAGAATTTTTACAAGGCTAGAAACAGCTCTTTGCTTAAAGCTTAAACGTATAAAATTGCAGAGGAATTACCGCGCATAGACTTCTGCATACGGCTCACAAATTAATGATTTTATTTCTGACTTGATAGCATGCACTAATCTGGCATCAGAAAAACAGTAATCTTGCTGTGCATTAATCAGTCTTCCCAGTTCAGCATTGAATGTCTATAACAGTTTGATATTATTGCTTTTTCTTGAAAAGCTTATAATACGACAAACGATTTTTTAAAAACTAGTCAGTTAGCAATTATACAAGTTAACTACGCCAGTTTTAAGAAAAAACAACCGATTTCAAGGACCTAAAGACATAAATGTTGTTAAGATAAAAAGTTAAGTAATTTAAAAGCGACTAGAAATAAATAGACGACATGGTTCTAAAATAACACACGAAATTAAAATAAACTAAAAAAACTTCTCTGCAAATAAAATATAAAAAATTAAAATTAATTTTCAAAAATGACCAGATCCTTAATTCAAATAGTGTTTATGTTTTCGAAGTCAATCATATGTTACAGTGGATATATAAATGAAACAAACCATCAATGCATTTTTTAACGTAGTTCTGTCGTCGAAAGTAGACAAATCTACAGTTATGATTGAAACAACACGGTTCCAACTGAAATATTAAAATTTAATAAAATCGATTAAAAATCCTAGTACTATTATATGAACCTACCTGACTTTGTTAACCGAAGCTATTTGCAGTTTTCAACATTGCTTATGGTATTAATCACTGCAGAACTGATTTTAACTGCCATAATCATAAATAATAACTATACAAACAATTTTGTTTGTATAGTTATGTTTGTATAGTTATGAGAGAAATTAAGAAAATTAATCTGAAGGTTTATTTTTCTTAGAAAATACCTTTGGAGGTATTTTTTGCTGTATGCATTGATTTCGGAGCGGTAAAAAGAGCGCACTTGAGAGTTATGCTCACCAACTACAGCAAACATTCCATTAGTTTGAAGCGCATTGTGGATATAATTGCTATTGTTTAAGAGAAAAACAGCAGCCAATGTTTCGTCACTGTATGCTCCTGCCTTGTTTTTCAGATTCAAACCCAATGCAGACAGTGCTCGTGCTAGAAATATTTTGGCTCAAAAAATAAGATGGCGGTATAAATTATGCAAAGGATTTTCTAATTTGTTTCTTAACAAACTTAAGTAGTAATTCAAGCTACTGCGAGCAATATTGTTTGCTGAACCGCTAAACCTTTTAATTCTACAACTGATATTTTTTTTGACTTATATCAATGGCTGACATCTCCTTATTATCTAAAATCTCTACCTTAAATTACTACCATTTCTAAATTAATAAATAACTCCTTCATTCTAATGTATTTGTTATTCTTTGTCAGTGAGATATAGGGGTGTCTCCCCCACAATATTATAAAAAAAAAGAAAGAACTCACCGAAAAGACGCGGAAAATGAGTCGCTGGGTTCCCTTTTGCTCCTGTTGCAATTAACAAATTTGTTACTGTTTGCCGATAATCCATCAAACTATTCAGAAAATTTAGTGTCTGAAAAACAGATATTACTAATAAAAGAAATATTTTTGTCAAATCTGAGGAATTTGATTTGGATCCATAGAAACCACTTACATTCGATGTAATTTGATGTACATTGCCATCTGTGGGCACAAATTTATTGGAGTCATTTGTTAAATGATCAAAAAAGCCATCAAGAGATTCCTTTGTCTTATCGTTAATCTTTTTCACAAAACTTTCATATGGGACATCTTCAACAGCGTTCTGCAACATCATAAACTATTTCATTTTGCATTATTAGAACTCTGCCAGTTCTATTACTTTTTTATGCTGTTTTAAAATTTGATAGAGATAACCAAATAAACAAATAGCAGCTTCATCCACAAATAATTTCGCATTATTTCTTGAAATTATTTTGTTAAGAACAGAATTGGCAATTCTGTTACGCTCCCGAAAAGGATTCACAGTTGGGATTTTATGAAAAAACTGATTTGTTACCCCAAGCTCCTATATTTGGGTAACTTTAAGGACGAGCTATTTCTAAAGATTCGATAGCATAGATCAAAGCAATAGAATACCACATGATGTGATTCAAACACACTCTTGGCCTCAGCCATGCAGCATAATGAAAAATAGATGACATCAAATCCTATCATAAAATTTGATTGTAAACTATCGAATCTTATATAAAGTATATAAAAGGATATCAAAATCGACAAAAAGTAATTAGTTCAGAAAGCTAAATAACGGCAAAAAACATACATTTCAAGAGATAATAACTGCAAGTAATGCGCATTAATATGCCTGAGAAGAGGTAAAAATGGAATTAGAGAGCAATTGATCCCATCCATCAGAGAGCTTGCACGCTCCACAACATACAATAAAGGTCGACCAAATAATAACTGCTGTACTTTGGCCTCGGCACTCACGTCTGCTATCACTTTATTTACCAAATCTGCTTCAATCTGCAGTAATACTGAATGAAAAATGTGCAACCTGTGGTCAGAAACTTCTCCAACTATGTTTGCCATGAAATCTAAATACACATTTAAGTAAATATATTAAAAGAGAATAACCTCGATAAGCGCAAGCAACGTTCCAAATAAAAGCAAAATATTTTCGACAGCATCGTCTGATGCACGCCATTCCCATGCTAAATCTAGTAAGTACTACTCTATTCCACTTAATAATTTAAAAGAAGGAAATGTCACTGTTAAACCAAGTTTTAAATTTTGAAAAAAAATCAACCAAATTTCTGTGGTTTCTTAAAGCATTAATAAAAAGAAATGAGAACCATATCTTTCAGAAGAACGACCAGTTGCCTTTCGTAAAGCTCTGAAATAATGCTCTGAAGTGTTACATGAAAATTTTCATCATTTATCTTCTATGAATTTTAAAGAATGAGGAACTGTACTTCAAATGATGGAAGCAAACCGATAACTTCTTAATGAATTCAGAATTCTCAAAAGATTATTAAAGTTATAAATATACGATCGACAAATGCAAACTTACTGTCTCAACGATGCTGATTTCGAAGATAACGAAATATTGGTTTTACTATTTGAAGAGGATCCCTGTTGACTAGCAGCAGTTAGAGTTCGAAGCATATTATCACATCGAATACTAGCATATGTTTTGATCACAGAGCCTTCTGGATTATATGTTAATAACCAACGAGCTATTTGAGCACATTGTTCAATATTGCGTAATGTGACCACCCACGCAATCGAGTACTTACTACTTCTTAAATTAATTCAATTCAAATCTCAGTTCAAGTATTTTTTTCATATTTTTCAAATTTTATGGATGAATATAGTTCTCATTATTAGTAATATAACCAGTGGATAAATTAAGATAGCTAGCTGGAAACTTAAATTATCAATCTCTAATGATGAATCTGAGTTCCATAAAACCATTAAAAATGAAATTACTTATAAAAAATATTTGATTAGAAAAGTCCTTCAAAATATTTACGAATTATTAGTAATAATGGACCCTCACTGAATAATCTTCGCAGAAGATTATTCAGTGAGGATTTATA